TATTGAAAATTCTGAGGTACCAAGTATATCTTCTGTGGAGTTGAACAAGGTTGTTGATGGTGAATCTAAGATATCATCCCATGAGTCTAGCAACTCAAGTTGCTTAAGGCCTGCTGAAGAGAATGATGATGTTGTGACACCAGGCAAAACAGATCCCTGTGCTCTGGAAAATTCAAGGCTATCTGTTAACCGTCTAAGTTTCCTACCTGAGTTGATTGCTTCTGTTAAGAAAGCAGCACTAGAAGAGGTTGAAGAAGTCAATGCTAAAGCCGAAGATGGTGATTCTGCAAAGCAAGATGTAGGTGAAAAAGAAGTAGCTGCTAATGAATCTGAATCACTGGTGAGACTGAAGAAGACTTGCTTTATTAAAGAGCTTCTTCCAGTACCATGTTTTTCCTTTTTCTAATGTCTGTTTGTCCTTTAGAATGCACATGATGAGTTGGAGGCAGAATTTGATAATGAAAATCTAAACATTTCTAAAATTGAGCCAACAAAGGCTGAGGCAGAAGCTATTTCAAGAGGCTTACAGGTTTGGATTCACTCTATAATCGTGTCATCAATATCTTATATTCTTTTGCTGGATAATTCTTTGCTGCGCCATTTTTTTTTTTTTTTTATTATGACAAAATTACTATCTTCCTTCAGACAATAAAAAATGACGACCTGGAGGAAATTCGAGAATTAGGTTCAGGAACTTATGGAGCTGTTCATCATGGGAAATGGAAGGGTTCTGATGTGGCAATAAAGAGAATTAAAGCCAGCTGCTTTGCCGGAAGACCTTCTGAAAGAGAACGTTTGGTAATATTTTGAACTTTTTTGACACTATTCCATTTCATAAAATATTTGGTTCTTAAACATTTAAGTGTAAGTCTGCTTGATTTGCAAAGAATGAAAGATACCTCGTCTTATATGTATGCTATGCTATGTACTTTTATGTGAATGGTGTGTGATTGAGTGGTAACATCTAGAATTGTTGAGCAGTTTCAAAGGCAAATCCACAAAAATAGCCTGTGCATTTGAGCTTAAAAGACTGAAAAATAGAAGTAAATGAAATCTCAATTGTTTGTGATTATTGTTTTTTATAACCACTAGTTGATGGTGCTCGATAAATTGATGAACAGATAATTCTGTATTTACCATATGACAACTTCTTTCATGTAATAAATAAAGCAGTTCTGCAAGCAAAATACATGGTGGAATTGTGCACAAGGATTTATACCTGCTTCACAAAAAAATGTGTAAACTAAACACCATAACCTCTTCTTATCTAGGGCTGCTATCTGTTCTAACACATGACATTAACCCCATTGGGAAGAGTGTTCTTGCTATCTCAATTAAGATCATTTCTCCCTGGCCTCTATTGATGGTCAACCATAATTTCTTTTGTGTGGCTGTCACAGATTGCAGATTTCTGGAAGGAAGCTCTGATATTGAGTTCATTGCACCATCCAAATGTTGTTGCTTTCTACGGTATTGTACGTGATGGTCCTGATGGATCTTTAGCCACTGTGACAGAATTCATGGTTAATGGGTCTTTAAAACAATTTTTGCAGAAGAAAGACAGGTACTCATGTTGATGGCTAACTGAGCTGTTTGCTTTTTGAGTGCCATGACTGTAGTTTGTTCTAGAATCCTTAGTGTTTTGCATAAGCATACTTAAAGTAGTTCCATGGTAGGGTAGTCAATTTAGAAAAGAACTTTTTCTGAAGTAGAATGTCATGCCATATTGTTGTTGGACAGAACTATTGATCGTCGAAAGAGACTCATTATAGCAATGGATGCAGCATTTGGGATGGAATACTTGCATGGAAAAAACATTGTTCATTTTGATTTGAAATGCGAAAATCTATTGGTAAATATGAGAGATCCACAGCGTCCTGTTTGCAAGGTATGATTATAGATGTGTGAAATTGAGCTGTGTTTTTCTTTTTTTTTTTTTTGGTACCCTCTTTTTGCCAGAACTGAAAGTTGCCTTTGATATCTAATACTTTAGAACATTGTGCTTAGCATTGTTCTCATTTTATATAACTCTGTTGTTAAATGTTCATTGAAACTACTGTATTTTATTATCATGTTTCTGAAATATTCAGCACTATAAACTTGGTAAGAGTAAGATCTTCTTAGTTTTATTTTCAGTTAATTCCTTTTGCAACTGTTCTTCAAAGCACAATATAATATCTTTTCTGGAGTTATATGGATATGGTATCAACACGGTTTTATGTGCTCTCTTAGATTGGTGATTTGGGCTTATCAAAGGTCAGACAACACACTTTGGTGTCTGGAGGTGTTCGTGGGACATTACCTTGGATGGCACCGGAGCTTTTAAGTGGTAAAAGTAACATGGTATCTGAGAAGGTACTACTATATTCAGTCTCATAGAGAGAAAGCATGAGCTGTTTCCATCTTGTGCTGTCTTTTGTTTCTTAAGATATATTAATTTGTTGACTAACTTTCTCATATTATATTTCTTTCTGTGCTGTAGATTGATGTTTATTCTTTTGGGATTGTCATGTGGGAGTTACTTACAGGGGAAGAACCTTATGCTGATATGCATTGTGCTTCAATAATTGGTAAGCATCATAATATTAGTAGGCTTTATAATATTGATGATTTTTTAAAGAAGTCTTCCACACATGTTCGATATACAAGTTTTTGTTAGTGTGAATGCTTGACATACTAAGTTTGTGACTGGATGAAGCATTAAGGTGGGATTTCATAAGAAGAAAGTGTAAAGAATTTCAAAATCCTATTCTTGTCAAGGAGGGAGAGAGATTATAGTTTAGTTAGAGGAAAATGAGGATTTGAAGAAGCATTCAAAATACCTCCTTTTAAGTGGTTTTTTAAAATGACAATCTGTTGTTGTACAACCAGAACGTTTTTAACATGAAAGGTCATTTAGAAAAGGAATTTGAAATTCCTTTTTTCATATTTTCTTTGAAATCCCTCATTTAGAATCCTTCATCTGAACCCTACCTAAAGAAATTTGGTATCTTGTCTTTGTAGATTCATTAACTTGGTCTTACTGCTATCTATGTGAAAGAAGGAATTAGATCACTGTTTTTTAATTACAATAACTAGTGTTTCTATTGATGAGGACGTGCTGCAGTAGTAAAACAATATGCTAAGGTCCCATGGTTCAAAGCCCCCCACTTATCGTGTGTGTTCATTTTTTCATATCCCAACAAATTAAATAAAAATCAATTAGCATTTCTCAGGCCATTTTGATGTTTATTTCCTTCACCTCTTTGGTTCTTTGGAGTGAAAGGAGGAAAGCAGGGGGTTGGGAAGGATATTTTAGACCAGCTAGTAATTTCTTTTATTGAAGGAAGTCTGACCCTTGATTTCTGAGTAAAGTTCTTTTTATTGTGTTAAAGCTTCTGAAATCGACATAATGTGTCATGCTTTTATTTCTAAGTGACATATGATGTGATCTCTTTCTACATTTCTCTCATTTTGATTTGCAGGAGGTATTGTAAACAATACACTGCGTCCAAAAATTCCTTCATGGTGTGATCCTGAATGGAAGGCTTTGATGGAAAAGTGTTGGGCCTCTGATCCTTCAGAAAGGCCATCGTTTTCAGAAATTTCTCAGAAGCTGAGGAACATGGCTGCTGCAATCAATGTAAAATAGTTCTAATGCTGAAGCAGTAGGTTTCATGCCTTGCATCTTACTAGGGAAAAGGAAAATAATTAAGAAGCCCAGTTACTGCAGTATGTGATCACCTAGGTTAATAATTTTTTACTACTGTGCCTTCATTCAGCTTCTCCAGATCCATCATAGTACTGCCATTAGTTCTCTCCAGAGAGCAGTTATATACACCAAAGAGGGCCATGGATAAACAATCAGAATGAGAGAGTTTTCTCCAACTGGAATCGGTACCTTTCCTTTTTATATACATACAGCATATGTTTTTAACTCTTACCCAGAAACAGCCGAGTCATGAATAAACTTCATCTTTCCCTCACAGGGTTTGCTACATTTGATCTGACCAAGATGGCCGTACTATGGGTGGATGCCTTTATCTTTTAAGGTGGGACTATATTTTTTTGAAGATCTGTATATAAGTGATATGGAAATTGAGTGAACAATAATGCATAGTTCTTGTGAAATTCAGACGAACTAGGAACCGTATTTGTTCTGAATCTTTTTGACCTTTGATTCTAAAAAATTTTGAGCCAAGAGTCCTCGCTTTTATGTGGTGATGTGTACCCCATTTGCTTTCATGTAAATGAATTTGTTTACAAATTACAATGATACTCATTTGGTATAAGTTCTTGCTGTATGAAGCTCAAATAATAGATCACTGCTCCTGCACCTATGTAGGAGGTTTTTTGATATCAGTACCACTGATTTCAATTTTGTTGATGGTGGCATGTCTCACAGCTACCAAATCAAGATTAATGAAAGAATAAAGAAGCAAAAATGAAGTAGATAGTCAAGCATTCGGTCGACTTTAAGTCCCTGTATATATGTGCATGAAATGTGCCAATGATTAAAGAAATATGAGAGGTGAAGTAGGAGGGATTGGCATCACCCACTATCTCTGAGAGTTTTAAGGTCAAATGCAGTGACACCATCTCATGCACCTAACACGCGGTGAAGACTCTCTCTGCAAGTCAAAGCCTGATTGATCTCAACTCAATAAGGTTTTGCAATCAATTGCTTCAATTATAGCAGTTTGGATAAACTGTTTAAATTTAACTAATAATTGATAATTGATATGTAATAATTGCTAATTATTGTTATTTATAATTTAAAGTATCTAATTCATTAAATTAAAGTTAACAGTTGATCCAAAACTCTAAGGAACAACTTTATTGTTATCTTTAAAAAAACTATAAATGTTATAAAAGGAACCATAACTCAAATAACTTAGCCTCACAAATGAAGCTTTGTATACGAAGCTAGCGCATTTTTAAGAATGTCATGTTTACCTTTTAACTTTACAACAAAAAGTACTTATTTACTCTATTTGCAGACTGCATAGATCCAAAAAAAACTATAAATTTGTGAAATTTCTCTAGTAATAAAAGTCAACTCAATATCTTGGATCCTAATAGCTAAATGAGTTTTTAAATTTACTTTGGTATTATTAGCATATCTAATAAAATATAAGAGAAATAAATATTATGGGGGGGTTTGACAAATGTTTTGTGACTTAAAGGGAGGTGGGAACTTAGGAAGAGAAAAGGAGGCCAATTTGAGCTAAGCAATGGGCCTATTTGTAGCATATATTTTATAACCTCCTTTCTAATACTACTATTAACTAAGCAATTAGTCATTACAGTCCTTTTCATGGCAATTCTTTACATATTAATTAAAGTTATTTAAAGTCCAATAATTGCATGCATCGTTTGTCAACTCCTTTGACGGAATGGAGGATCTTTCTAAGGTTTGTTTGGCCCTTCTTTTTTTTTTTTTTTTTCATTTTTTGTTTTGTTTTGGTTTGGTTTTCTTCTTTGTGGAAAACTTAACCTTATCTTGATCTTAATTTGTGTTACTCGAAAAGAGGGAGCAAAGGATATGGATTTATAGATGATTGTTGCTTGATCCCATGCGATAGCACTAACACCAACAAAATTTAAGACTTTTTGGTTGTATCTTAATAAGGGGAAGAAAATATAAATACATTGTTGTTAAATGATCAAAATTCACATCAAAATATAATTAAAAGAAAAAACATGTGTATTTAAATATCATTCATTTATTGTTAATTGGCTAATTTTACATTTAAGTACACATATTTTCACATATTACCAAAGTTGATTAAGATGACAAATTAAGTCTTCATGTGAACAAAATGAAACAACATCCAAAGCCAACTTGAAATTAGTATTTTGTTTGACAATTAAAATCCAAACGAAATCCCTTTACCATCTGCTTCAACTGATCCACCTTGAGGAAGCTATATGTAACCAATTAGTCCCTTAACAGAAGTCAAACAATATTTATTCTTTAATGAATGCAAAAAGGCCCTAAAGGATGTCTATTGTAGTCTTTAACTCTCTAATGTTCTAGTAATGCGGAAAGCTTCAATATTAATATGTGAAAAATATATATATTAATGAGCTAGTTTATATATATATGTACTCCATAATATAAATTAAAAATAGTCAATTGCCATCCAAGTCTATCTTTTTTTTTTCCCTCACCAACTCTCACTCATTAACAAAATTTTATTCTTATCTCAAATATCTAATTAAGTTTCAATTCAATTTATTCGCTTTTTTAAGTAAAAAGAATTAATTATAATTATTATTCTTTTAAGATTATAAAACTTTATTATGAGACAAAATTGTGAGTGGATCAATTTAACTATCATTCATCAAACAAGCCTTTTAAGTTAATTAATTTGGGTCTTTATTGATGATGAAATGAATTAATATAGAGATTCTAGGGTTAAGACAAAGACAAGCAGAAGCAGGCTTTTGCTTCGGCTTAAAAGCTGTGATGGACATTTAAGAAATTAATTTTTGTGGGAGTGAGTGCTTTTGAAATTTGGATAGTTTTCCTCTTGTTATTTCTTTGCAGTTCCGGATGCGGGCATTTTTTTCTGCGGAAAAATTATTAAACTATGAACACCAAGGTCAATCATGCTGCTTCTTCCTTAAAGACTTTAAATTCTCAGTAGTTTTCCTTCTGGCATTTCTCTTGCTTTATTGGGTTTTATTTATTTATTTATTTGAGCTGGAAAACCTTAGCCAACTTGTAACAGTTTGGGTCTTATCATAAGAACCATATCACAATCCCAAATACAGGTATTAATGATATCATTGTGTTTTTTTTTTTTTTTCATTATGCTTGATTAATCTCGATCAAAGAATTATAATCTAATTAGTAAGAAAGTTTGTTTTTCACTTTATTAATTAAGATTTAATTCTCTAAATTTTACCAAATTGATCATGAGATTTTTTAATTGTTAAATTAAAAAATCTACGATTAGCTTCATATATACATATATAAACTTTATATTATATATCTAGCTTTTTTTAAAAAATAAACTCTCTGAAAAGAAAGGATTGAAGAATTTTACAGGGCTATACATTTAGAGAAGCAGGTATATCAAGTGGGGTACCTTGGCCTACTTAATTGGCTGGGGTTATTGTTGCCCTTTATTTCGTTAAGGCCACTCATTATATTGGTAATTTTATTAGTTTATAGTCTTTTTCAAATATTTAAATTATAATATTTAAAAATATCTATTTATAAATTGATTCCAATATGTTTTTATTAGTTTATAACATTATTAACTATTTTTAACAATCAAATTAAAATTAAAATTTGACAATTTAAATGTCCTCAACACATTTAAAGATGGTTTTAACCGAAACCTACTTAATTGAATGAATAAAAATGGATGTAATTCTTCTACCTTTAGTTACTTACTAAGTTCCTCCAACTAACAAATGAAAAATCATTGGTTCTTGAAAAAAAAAAAAAAGGTTTTCTATTGTCATAGATCGATGAATTTTCCAACTAACTTTTTACTTGCCATATATCCCCTAATAATAAACTGCTGACATTACAAGAAATGACTCATACTTAAAATCATTCTGTTAAAAAAAACATGTTCTAGTAGTGGTTTAACTTAACATATGAGCCAGTAATGGCATTATCCTACAATCTGATATAGCTTACCAATTTACCATTGATCTCTGAACATTTCAACCATATACACGACAAAGGTGTAGAAGGGAGAAACTTGTTTACATCAAATTAATATTCTGTAGCATTCAAATATTAAACTAATGAGGCCTGAAAAAGCAGTGCAATTTAAAATTAATGCTGAAGAAGAAAATTTTCCATGTTCTAGAGCTACTTTTGTCCAGTTTGTATGTATATATAGTTAAAATATTAGTATGAGAAAAACTAATCCAAAAGGAAGAGAGATAAAGAAAGACTAACACAAACCCTAGAGGCAAGAAATGAGGTAGAATAGTGATATTAGAAAAGAGAGAAGGTAAGGTATAAGACTTTTTGTCCACTATTCCTATCTATAAATCTTGGCCTTTCTTTCCCACAAATCATCCCAACAATACCCGAGACAGCCTTTCTCTTGCAATTCCTTGGAAGAAAGAGAGAAACAGTATTATAGAAGACTTAAAGAGATGGGTCGAGCTCCTTGCTGCGACAAGGCCAGCGTGAAGAAGGGACCGTGGTCGCCTGAAGAGGATGCTAAGCTCAAGGCATATATCGAGAAATATGGAACTGGAGGCAACTGGATTGCTCTTCCTCAGAAAATTGGTATGCATCCATTATTTCTTATGTGTGTTGGTTTCCATTTTTGTTTGAAAAGGAGTATGCATGTTCCTAAACTGTGTGATCCTTAATTTGGTGGAATAATTCATAGGTCTTAAGAGATGTGGAAAGAGTTGCAGACTTAGATGGTTGAATTACTTGAGACCAAACATCAAGCATGGTGGATTCTCTGAAGAAGAAGACAACATCATCTGTAGCCTCTATATAACTATTGGAAGCAGGTAATTCTTCATCTCTGCCTCTCTCTTTCTTTCTTTCTCCCCGCAAGCCTTTGACACAGAAATTTAACCTGGATTGCTTGTCCTTTTATTACTTGTCCATGATGCCACCTCAATTCTCTGCATTTAGAACTTATTTTCTAGGGTTTTTTTAGTTCTCTCTTCTTTCTTGCTGGAGGATTGTTGGTTCTTTCTTATTTTCTTTTTGATTGGAGAAAAGCGAAAGTGCTTAACTATTGCAGAGATTTGAAATCTTAATCGTAACCTAGTATTAAGATTCTAGAAGTTAACGAGTGCTAACTTGGATCAATCTATAATATTTTAGGTGGTCCATAATTGCTGCACAGCTGCCTGGAAGAACTGATAATGATATCAAGAACTACTGGAACACCAAACTCAAGAAAAAACTGCTTGGAAGGCACAAGCAATCAAACAACCGGTCAAACCAGGACCCCAATGTCATGAATGGTGCAGATGATACTGAACACTCACAGGGCTTGAGCAACTCAGCCCTAGAAAGGCTGCAGCTCCATATGCAGCTTCAGAGTCTCCAAAACCCTTTCTTCTTCAACAATCCAGCTCTGTGGCCCAGACTCCACCCTTTACAAGAAAAGATGCTCCAGAACCTCCGGTCTTTGGATGGAAACGCCAACCCTCTCCTCCCAAGCCGTCAGCTGGAGCAAGAACAGCCTATCCCTTCTGTGACCCTTCAACAAGATTACTTAAATGGGATATCTTCATCAGATGTGTCAGTTCCCTTTGTTACAGAAAACAATTTGATGGCAGATATAGTACAATCTAATAATGCAGGAATTCCACCAGTTTCAAGCTTCCATGCCGAGCTAGATGAATTTCTCAACAACAAAACTGTTGGTCTTGCACAAATGACAGAATTTGATTGTTTCAAGGAAATGAATGGTTCAAAGGACAACATGGTATGGTGGTCTAATGGTGCCTTTGATGCAAAATCAGCATCCTCAAACTCTTGGGAGTCGGAGGGTATGTTTCAAGATTATGAAATGGGTTATAATATGTAGGGAGAAATTAATAAAGTACTGATGGATAAGTGTAAGGTTATTGGTTTCAGTCATAAGATGAAAAATGGAGTATATTTATACTACAAGTGAGGTTGTAAATTGTGTGAATAATTAATTATGTTAATGTCCTTTGATCAGTTGTAATTGCCATAAAACGTTCTGAATATTTACATGCATTTGCTTTTAATTTCTCCATGCTATTTTAATGTTTTGAAAACTTGTATTTTGTGGATTGTTAATTGGCACCATCCTCGTTACCATATGTTTTCCGCTCTCCCCATATTTCCTTCACAGCAGTGGCGGATCTTTGGTGTCATACATGGGTACTTTATTTATTTATTTGTAAATTTTCCAATAATTTCAACCATCCAAAATAAATTATGTATAACCTTCAGGAAATGCCTCATAGTTAAGAACTTATGGCACATTTGGAATACAGATAAAAGTTGGGATATGATAAAAAAATTAGTTAAACCCTTAATTTAGTCCCTCAACTATTAATAAACTCTTGAATTGGTCCTTAGAGTAAAAAAATTTCTAAGTTAGTCCTTAAAGTTTTAAATTTGATTTTAAATTGGTCAATCCGTTAAAAAACAACTAATGTTTCATTATTTAGTGGTAGAAAGTCATTACTTGATGTTCACATATTTTGTTAATAACGAAATACGTCAGTTTTTTTTAATAGAAGGATTATTTTGGAATCAAATTTAAAATTTTTAGGGATTTAATTAGGAGTTTTTTTAATTTAAAAACTAATTCAGAAATTTATGCAATAATTGAAGGACGAAATTAGGAATTTAACTTAAAAACTTTGTGCCATCTCATTGTGTTCCATGTTTGGTGGGGTTTAT